GATGGATGTCAGATTGTATATCTAAAAGATATAAGTACTACTGACTCAGTAGTATGCGAGGGAGACTATAATGATTAATTATTTTAATTTTAATAATTAATGCTTTTCCATTAAAAATATAAAAAGAGCTATTTCAATGCGTTAAAAAAGTGTATTTTCTAGGTCATCGATATTTCTACTCAATACAAAACAATCACTTTAATTTAAATTAAAGTCCACTTTAAAATATCAAATTGAACAATGTAAAACCGAATGTTGCATTTTAAAGTGAACTTTAATTTATCTCTATAAAAGATAACACTGTTATATTTTTTCCCAACATTTCATATTAATTATAATTATTATAATAATTATTAGGTATAATTAAATACAAATCATTTTTAGCATTGCTGTTTTAATGTAAAAAAAATAACTTGTCATACATACTTTGACTTTGTTAATTAATCTACTTTTAAATTTCTTTTATCTACTCCTACATTGAAGAGCTGTGACTTTATGGCATTTTAGTCACGGGCTGAAGTTAGATTTATTTTAAATTGTCGAAAAGTGAGGTTAAAGCCGTTGAAATTTGACAGATGTCAAAATTTTTATAAATAAAATCGGCTTTAAATTCTTCTTTGTGTTCGTCGTAGATAATAGTATATTATGTATCAAGTTTGATAAACGCCATTTTATACACGAATTTAATTTATGCATGAGCGAGCTTGCGAGCGAGTGCTTAAATTAATGAGTTTATAAAGTTTATAAACGAGGTGCTTACTATAATTTTTCTACGACAAATACTTATTATTATCTTAAAATGATTTAAATCAAAAATTTGTATAGAGCGCCATCTATGAAACAATAGCTAAATCTGTGTGTCACCGTCAAATGTCAAATTTTTACATTTTATAAACACAATTATAAAGGTTATAAATCGAAATATATTTCTTGAAAATTTACAGTTTTTTACAGTGAAAGTAAAGAAAATGTTTTATGAGCACTTTACAGTGGAGTCCGTGCCCGAATTTAAGTTATAGTTTACTGCCGGCGAAATTAAAAGGTAAGTACAATGTTCATATAAACTTTTCAAATATTGGCGTTGAGAAACCATTTAATACTGAGATAATAAAATAATTTTCACATTTAGTATTATTTTACAAGAAATGCAATTTATTTTAACGATTGTATGTCATTTGACAACTGTCAACTAACATAAAACTAACTTTAGCCCGTGACTAAAAACCTGTTGCTAACTTCAGCCCGTGACTGAAGCGCCATAAAGCCACAACTTGTCAATGTGTATTTAAACACTTAGTGTCATGGAAACATGTACGATAAAGGGCGTTTTAAAGGTGGGAGTAGAAAAAGTACAGTATGCACCTCGTTTTATAAACTTCTCAAGACACTCGTTTTTATTAAACACTCACTTGCAAGCTTCGCTCGTGCCTAATAAAACTCGGAACTAAAATGACATTTATAGAACTTGATACATAATATACTATTAAGAAGACATAAATTTAGAGCCTTAATTAAATTAGACAATAAAGCAAGCCAAAATAAACAAAATACATCAAGGGGTTACCGCCTTCATAAGTCTATAGCTTGCATATTTTTAAGCAAAATTAAACCTTAGTTTATAGGTTCTATACGTAGACTTTAAATATTCTGTATGTATATTATAATAAATGTAATAACTAAAGATGGGATATTTAGGTACTAAAAAATGAAAAATAGGTAACTAAAAAGGTACTAAAAAAAAGCATTTTAGGTTAAAAAAACAGCATTTTAGGTTAAAAAAACATTAAAAGTTCAAGTTTCGTTTATAATTTTGTTTAGTCGCATACCCAAACACAGAACATACCCACAATAAACTATTTCTATGCAGTAAACTGTGTTTCACTGAGTGACACTCACTACACAGAAGTTCTATGACAGAACATAAGCTCACTACAAAGAAGGTAACTGTAAAGAAAGTTACTGTTACAGTCTGTGAAATATTGGCGGAAAATTTAAAAAGAACACAAAAAAATAAAATAAGTAAAAATACGTAAAAATAGATAACAAATATGTGAAAATAAATTGACAAATTAAAAAATATGTAACAAAAGTATAAAAAGGTACTTTAAAGCAAAAACCTCCAAAAAAGGTAAAAAATGTAAAAACAAGTTAAAAAAATAGGTAACAAAAGTATAAAAAAGGTAATTTAAAGCAAAAACCTCCAAAAAAAGGTAAAAAAGGTGAAAAAAAGTTAGGTTCATATAAAAGAAAATCTTTTAAAACACATTTTGTCATTATTGGTTTTCAAATAGTTACATCGGTTGAAAAAAGGTAAAATAACTAAAATCCCATCCCTAGTAATAACTATTAAATGATAATTATACTTTTTTTAAAACTAACCTAAACTTTTTTTTGGAATAATTATTATATTAATATTCAGATAAAACTTCCAAAAGAATAAATTAAACCCAAACCATTAATCGTATCAAAAACAGTGTTAACATACACAACGATTAAATTTGCTAAAAACATTAAATACAGAGCCGCGGCCGACCGACATGCAAAATCGTTGTATAGGTCGTAAAAATCGCATTACAAACCCCAGACATTGATTTTCTAATGACAATCGTTGATTTGAATGCCACCAACTGAAGGTTAAAGATATTGTCAGAAGTCAGGTGACTTGCGTGACCGAATTCTACTCAATCGTCATCTATCGTTCCAAAATCATTACTTCCACACTTCTAAATAAATCATTCTGTTCATCCAATCTGCTTTTTATCAAGATGATTGATAACCGTACAATTTCAATTACTCCATAATATTTAATTAGGATATTGCTTTCATTTCGTAAAAAGTTAAAACCTTGTAAATATATCTAGATAATGGTATACTATATCTGTATTATTTAGTTAATAATTTAACATGTGTAAAATGTTAACGTGTGCATATAGTGTGTTTATTAATACATATGTCTAAACACTAAGTTGTGTTTATGGTAGTGTCATGGTTATCAAAAATGTTTATTGATTAGGACCTTTATTAAAGGAATATTTTTCAAATTTAATTAAATCAACAAGAAAGTATTGTTAAATATTACGGTTTTAGGATTCTATTACTGCTCATGACTAACCAAACTTAGCCTTGCAGCTCAACTTGACAAATATATTCAAGTTCAACTTGACAAAGATATACAAGTATTCTGTATATTTTCTATAAACTCAGATAGTTTTTGTTCTAGTCGTAGACAATATTGGTTTAAAATTTGTAATTTTATAAATTAAGTAAAAAAGTAGAGGTAAAATATTACCTTTACCGCAGTGCAACAATTTGGGTCATAACTTCCAGCCCAAATAGGTCCAATGATAAATTAAAGTAAACCAATAGACTAAGAAAACCCTCGCAGGGTTTGGTGATATTAGCTTGCATTTTTATAGCCCTTCAAATTCTTTGTGGACAATTTCGTCGTAAATAAATTAAAAAATCAAACAAGTAATAGTTATTTATATATAATAGTTATTTATATATAATAAGTCTAAAAAGTTAGTATTTTTGAATTAAGCTCAAAGTATAATTGAGCGAAGGCACGTCTTAGCCGAATGACATACAACATTTTATCTTTAAGGCACAGTTTTATTTGCTAAACAAAAAATATGTATAACGTACTTAAAATTATAATAACAATTATTTAAAGTATAAAGTGAGATTAGATAGCTTCAGAACTGTCAATAGTTTTTTTTATTGGTTCCAACATGTTTTTTACAGACTAGGATGTTAAAAAACCTCTCCTGATTGGTCTAAATTATTTTAACAGCCTAGGGGATAATTGATTCCTTTGTAGTGAGCGTTAACAATTATTGTTATTATAATAAAGCTTAAATTATAGAACACTTAGTATGGTATCATTGAAAACATTAAAATATTGTAAATCCTGGCCAGTGGCATATCCACGGGGGGTTTTTGGGTCCGGACTCACCTCCAGAATCAGATTTCATATTAATTATTATTAAGCGATTATCCCTTATTAAAATCCTGGATCCGCCCCTGATTCTGACATATACAGCGTTTTTCCTAAGTATAAGGGCCGTAACTTCAGGTCATAATTCCTTGCTATAATTTAAGTTTGTATAAACCCATGTCTAAATGCTTCCGGTAAAAAAGTATTTTTCCATTGTTAACTTTTTTAATATCTTCCACTTAATGTAACAAAATTTGTTTTTCGTTTTTTTTTATAGCGCTGAATCCAAACATGCGGATTTAAATTTGAAATATTATATGGTGTGTTTGTTTTACAATTACCATTTAATATCGTAGTCACAACTTTTTTTTTTAATTAAAATTTTTTCAAAACAATTTTTAGTATATTCGGACCACAACAAATAGGATATGAAAAAAATAAAATTAGCGAGGAAACTTGTTTTTTGTGAATTTTAAGAAATTAATGTGTGTGTGTGTACGGAAATGTATAGATTTTGATAGGTATACAGTGTTGAAAATAAAAAAAAAATATTATTAAAAAATAAAAAATGAATAAATTATTTTTGACACCCTGTACTCAGTAAGAAAGCATTTTAGAACAAATGTTTATATAAGTTTTTTCTTAAAATATTGTTAAGTTTCGGACAGTACTTAGGAAATACCAAGTTTATGTAAAAATCTTAATTACACTTGTTTGACTTATTAATTAATTTATTTATTTGACTTACAAGTCGCAAATCGTCATCAAATTGGCAACAAAGAATGCAAACTTTAGTATACTAAAGTCCTATAGGACATAAAAGCACAGGAGCTAATATCAGCAAAGCACTTTTGTATTGAGTTGGATCCATTTGGGCGAGAATTTCTTGTTGCACTGTATAATTAGTTATTACCTTTATAATAATATCAGTTTACCTATTTAGTAGTATATTATTAGATTTCAGAATAATGTATAAAACTAAGTCATACCACTAAACAGACACTCTACACATTATTATATATGTTGGTAAATTTTTATTTTAATAAATACATATCCAATAATATTAAATAGCTTTTACGTTACCTTCATCATGGTTACTTCCTATTAGGAGTTCCATGTCCTCGTAATCGCCTTCAGCCAACATCTTCATCGGATGTTTGGGTAAAAAGACCCCGTCGATGGTGGGAGTGGATGGGAAACCCAATATGCCGGTGTACGAATTCCATTGTTGCAAGGAAATAGTCTTCGCGTCGACAGCCCTCATACAATCCATTACCTGATGAGGATTCGTTTCTAAAAGGGTTACGTTACAACCGCAATCTTGTATAAGAATTTTGCCAATTTGCTCGGCCCGTTCTCCGGTCATGAAGCTCCAGGGTGCGTTCATGGTACCCGATTGCAATATGCCCCTTTTAGCCAGACCCTTTGTGACGGGACTGAGTAGATGGATGCTTACAGAGCCGCCTCCAGCCGATTCACCAAATAATGTTATTAGTTCCGGATCGCCACCGAAAGCGGCAGCATTTTCTTTGATCCAACGAATTGCCAATGCTTGGTCCCACATTCCCATGTTACCAGGAGCTTCTTCGCTTCCTCTTGAAAAATATTTGTTCAAATAAAGAAACCCGAATGATCCAATGCGATAATTCATAGATGCAACAATAACATCGCTTGTGGCAGCGATTATATCTCCATCATAAATATCCAAGGTCGAGGTACCACTCATATACCCGCCACCATAAATCCATATTAAAATCGGAACTTTAGGTCTGTCTTGTGGCGGTTTGTCGGCGTGATGCCTGATGCGCAGGCGCTGAGGCACCCAAATATTTAAATAGAGACAATCTTCCGATATATTCGTGTTTGGGTTCCACATTTCCTCACCTTCAAATCCTGGGAAATATTCGTAACGCTCTTGGTAACAGGAGTTTGGAAGTTTGTTAGCCTCAAGAATGCCATGCCATGGGTCTATTGGTACAGGACGCCTGAAACGCAGCCCATCTATAGGCGGCTTCGCGAATGGTATACCGGTGAAAACATGTACTTCCCGGCTTAAAACTGTTTTAGAGAACCCGCGAACCAAACCGGTAGTTGTTTCCACAACCAGAGGATCGGTATGAAAGTCTCTGTACTGTGACCTCGTGGTTGTCTCCTCGTGCGGCCACGAGTATCCGCAAACAAAACTAACAAACACCGCAAAACACAAAGCAAACTGTAAAAGTACCATGATGACAGTTGTTGAAAGTTGATTTATTAAAACTGTAAAGCTGTGTAGAACGGCGGATTGAGAGACGCTGGAATCGTGGAGGCGGCGAATTGGCAGGTGGTCGCGACAACGTGAGTCTTACGGCAAACGCGGATAGGACGTCGGCCTGTCGACGGTCTGGAACGAACTGTGGCCCGCTTAGGTCGCCGTGCTCGCTCCAAGCTTGCGCGACCCTTCGCTGGTGATGATTCTTTTTCATACATACGTACGATATCTTCACCCTTTAATTTATGGCAAGCCGTTTTAGTTTTTATTACACATGGCTATCAAGTCTCATTTTAATTCGACTTGATTTCTATGAGACATTAGATAATTGAAATTATATGTATTTTCCTTAAGGGAAATTACATTTTTATTATAATTTCAAAATTGAATGCATATTTTCTTTACAAATAGTAAAAATAATGCATTTGTTGTATTTATTTCCATTGTTTTTTTAAATATTGTCCTTAACGTGAAAGCAATTTTCGTTAACAGAAATTGTATTAAATTTACTAATTATAATTTTAATGCAAATTATTTGTACTGTTTTAGTTTTTTGGAGCAATTTTATGACACATTAAAAGGATTTTATTTTAATTCAATTTTATTAAAGTAGCTTCTGACTTGGATACAATGTTACATTTTATTTATGTTAGACTAGGCTAAGTATTAAAATAAAACGAATTAAAATTACTATTACGAATATAAATGCATTTTTCCTTAAGGATATAGTTTTATACTTTCCTAAATGACATAAAAATTAAAAACATTTTAATTTAAAATACTCATTGAAATGTTGTTCCCGAATAAAATTTAGAACCGCAATACATAGAGTCTAACAATATTTAGAGAATCAGAAAATAACATCGAATTAAAATGAGACTTAATGATCATGTGTACAAAAAATAGCTCGAATTACTTTTATTTTTAACTAAACAAAAATAAACTTCTATTTCCGTTAAGGGAAATTACAATTCCCTTAACGAAAATGTTATTTCCCTTAACGGAAATGCTATTTCCCTTAACAGAAATTACATTTCCCTTAAGAGAAATTAGTGGCGCTATCTGTGGTGAAGATGCCGAAGGTTCCACCGCTTACAGAGTTCTGCCTTTGGTTGGGATGCCAGAATCTTTCATTTTGTTTGAATGCAACAAATATGACACTATTAACAATAATGAATAATATTACTACTACAGTTTGCTATTTACTACTTCTTTTCGTTTTAATAACCTTTATTAGAAACGTTAAAACACACCTTACACATGCGGCGTTGCCACACAACATTCGATTCGAATGATGCGATTCCAAAGTCGATCGGTGTCATCGCAATTCGATTCGGAGAGTTTGGTTTTCTCGAGTAGTACCCATAATTATTAATATTACTATTATTATAGCATTATCAATACAAATTTTGTGACAATTTTCTGAAAATTCGATAATTTTGTCAATAATTTGTCGATGATTTGTCGATAATTTCACTTTTTACATCTGGCAACACTGTTGGGTGATATTTTGTGGGTGGATGTGAACAGGTGTAATGGTTGGTTTTTAAATTAAAAAGGTAACAATCAAAAAAATTCTTTTTACTAATAAATCTTTTGTAAAATCACAGTGCAATAATTTCATTTTATAGAATTTTGATAAAATTAATTATTTGAACTTCAGCCGTCCTCTCATAGATGGCGCCAATTTCCCTTAACGGAAATGCTATTTCCCTTAAGGGAAATACAATTTCTCTTAACAGAAATGATATTTCCCTTAAGGGAAATTGCATTTCCGTTAACGGAAATGCATTTAAATTCTTAATTATAATAAAAACTACTTTCCTTAACGAAATTTGCATTAAAATTACTATTTGTCATAAAAATAATTTTTATTATTATTTCAAATAAAAATGAAATGTTTTAGTATTTTTATTACAATTTCGAATGTAAATCATCCTCTACATCTAATCTTTTCAATTTAATGTACCCAAAATTTCAATGCTTATTAAAAAAGGAATTTTATTTATAATTTGTAATTAAAATGTAATTTCCCTTAAGGAAAATACATATAATTTCAATTATCTAATGTCTCATAGAAATCAAGTCGAATTAAAATGAGACTTGATAGCCATGTGTAATAAAAACTAAAACGGCTTGCCATATTAATTCCTCTCTATTCAAATGAAACATTTTTTTAATAATCCAAACCGACCGTCGCATTCTCTTTTTATACTATTCATAGTTAAAAACTCACATTTGCTAACTTATACATGAGCTTATGAAGCATTAATTAGTGCTTTTAAAAATATATTTTATTAGGTACCTAATTGATTTAAATCAAATATGGTTAAAAGCATGTGTTTTAAGATATATAAAACAATTTGGTGGCAAACCAAATATAAATAGACAATTAAACTGTTTATAAGTAATTTTATTCTCCGCATAATTAATTATAATTATTGTTCAAGAGATAAGTACATTTTAAATTATTTATTGGCCTAAGTACAAATTTAATTTGAAATTAAATGCAAGATTACTTAAATAAAATTAAACTAAACCTATTTTTTAAGTTTATTACTGTAATCTAATACAAACTTTACTTTTTATATTGAATTATTAGTTAATTTGTATATTGTTTTTGTAATTCAACTGTAAAAATTGTATTTACCAAGTATTAGGGCTTGATCTCGGGATTGAAATAAAGTTTTTTTAAGTGCATAAAATGTTGGTATTTTTTAAATCTATGTATGAAATTAAACCTAATTTTAGTTATGATTTAAAAATTATTTGCGGCATCTGAAAACCACTATACTTTGACTGTCAAATTGACAATAATATTTATTATTGATAATTTACTTGTCAATTATAAATAAAAAGATAATTATGCCAAAAATAATAGCAACGAATTCTAATATAAAAGCCCTTTTGAGGGCAAAACTTCATTTTGATGAAATTATGCCAAATGCCACAATGGAAGAAAAAGTTCATCGCCTTATGGACATTTTTGGAGTAAAAAAGTAACGAATTTGATTTTATAAATGAGTACATTAGATGCACAACTCTGTATTTGCAGGATAAGTGATTTTAAGAAAATCACGAAAAACCGCTCATAAGATCACTTTTGAAAAAAAAAATGCAAAAATTGTATAGACGTGCTTTTGCATGATTTCTTATTCACAAAAGTAAAAAAAAATCCTTTAAATTTAAGTAGTTTAGTAAATAATTGAAATCAAAAGATTTAAAAACATAGTTTTGCATCTTACTCGTTCAAAGACCAAGTTTTGCAAGTGAAAAGTGCAAATACCAAAAAATAAAAATTAATCAGGTTATTGTTATGTCGTCACGTAATGCGTATACTAACGATGTGATTGGTCTATAGACTGTAGACAGCAAATACCGAGTTTTGCATCCGACAGGAAGAAACAAATACCCAGTTTTGCATCTGCGTTAAGTGTATAAATGTATTTTAGTCTACAAATATTAACTTATGCATCTGGTTTACTTAGGTAGGCTGTCGGCAGTGCAGTTATGTACATAAATATGATAAATAGTAGATTATGTCATAAGGAGTAGAAGTGACTCTTTTTGTGGTGAGTACAGAGATTGACGGCCGAAGCGTAGCTGAGGCTGGCAACTGTGCGAAGCACAAAAAGAGCTTCTACTCCAAATAACATATACAATTTTTTTTTTCAAGGGCGTAATATAAATATATAAGAAATAGAATTATTTTATCTACTCATAACTCATGTGGTATAAAATTTTGGCTAAAAGCATTAGAAATTATTGATAAAAACTAAAAAAACTTATAACCCTTACTTACAATGCCGATAAATATCCTAAACTAAAAATAAACACTGCTCTGTCAAAATGCTGCGCTTGAATTAATTTTGACGTACTGACAGGGGCGGACCGTTGACTTTGGGGGCCCTGGGCTAAAAATCTTTGTGGGCCTATCTATAATTATATATGTACAGACAACAAAACAACAAATTTCAAATTCAAAATTAAAAAACAAGAAAAAAATTACACTTATTTTGTATAAAATTAATGAATAACAAATAAACCCTTCTAGCATTTATAAAAGGTGTCGGGATAAGACCTGTACAATGCAATTCTTGGTTTAAAATATTTCGACTTAACCCAACTCACCCAAATAAAAATTGCTTTGTTTAGCTGCTAGCTGCATTTATAATATGTAAAAAAGATTATTTTATATTGCAGTATCGACTATTTTTTTTCTATAAAATTTAATAACCTCATAAGCCTGTTAAAATATCACCCATTAATATTATTGGTTGCTATTTGCGATTTTACATTTAAAGTAAGTAGGTATATGAGATTTTTTTATTTTAGAGTTATTTCACTCGTTAACGGATTAATGGATGATTAGAACTTTTATTTTATAAAACTAAAGGCTCCACAATAAAGTTTACGTATTATTTTATGATAAATATATTCGTTAAAAAAATATTTAGGAAAAATTCATAGCAAATTTTTTGTTTTTCTTACTTTCCCGGAAAAAACATCAGACTTGTCACAAAATGTTGACAATGATCATACATTTTTTGTAGATCATTTTATTTTTTATAAAAATATGTAATTATTTTTTTAATGGTTTAACCAGTTTAAATACAAATATTTTTTTGCGATAAAATTGATACATTTTTTTAATTAATTAGTATTTAAACAGAAATATTAATTTGGTTTAAAAAATTACACAATTTTCTGACAAATTAAATGATCTAACAAAGACCTATAACGTTTTATTATTAGTCTGATAGTTTTAGCGGAAAAGTAAGAAAAACTTTAAATTTATCATAATTTTTAGCTTAAATATTTTGAAATGATAGATTTATTAAAAATAATAAGAGACCTTTTTGTTGAGCGTTTACTTTAAATAATCTATAAGAATAATATTTTTAATTTTAATTAATTAATTAACTTTTAATCTTTTAATTTCATTAATTCGTTCAAAAGATATATTATTTCCAAAGTTATTTTTTTCATGCTTTTTAAATCAAAAATAGAAAATCGCAATGACGGGCCTCTTAATAGTAATATTAAGATCTTATATTTTAACAGGCTTAATATTTTACCTTTATACAACTATTAAATAGTCGATTTTTTAATCAGTCTAATT